TATATGTTGCCTAGTGTACGAGTTTACAAAAATAATTTTGATTCTTGAAAATTTTAGGGATTTTATGAATGATTTTTGAAATTATCTAAACAAATAATGATGTCTAAAACAATCAATAACATTTTTTTTTGTGAGTTAGATCTGCAAAATAAGCAAATATTTTGCAGAATTAATCAAATTTTGGACATTTTAGAGACACAATTTTCAGATGTACAATGACGTGAGAATTTGGATGAGAATCTTGTCGTCACTCACATCTACAAGCGAATTAAAAAAATGAATGTGTTATTCTTCTGTCATTTATTATGTTGTTGAATGATATATAATAAATATTAAAGGCAATGGTAGGTGACATCATCTATTATGACGCATGTCGTACGAGGGCAATCTAATATACATAGACAAGCACTTTGATTAACATGTAATATATTAATGCTTTTCACCTCAATTTTATGTAGTAGTAGAAAGATTATATAGAAAAATTCTTTTACTTTTTCTCAATATTCTTCTCTTTAGAGAAGGATTTTTTAATCGACAGATATATACATATATATATATATGCATAGTTTTTTTAGATGAGGCAAATGAATTTTCTAATTGATCGTCAATGCTAGGTAAACTCTGGGGTTTCAAGAAAATCATGCCCATAATTTCCAGATTTGTCAAGTTTCGATAATTGTCAAAACAAAATAGAGTAAAAATTAAAAAATTCTTTCCCTCATCCGAATTCGTAGGGAGTTCTCTTTCAAATGAAAATAATTCGAGCTTTGCAACGTGGTTCTTGGAAATCTCCAGAACGATAAAGTATGGATGTGTAAAATTCTTTTATTAATGTACTTCCATGAATCAAACATCTATATAAAGTTTCATCAATATCTCGAATATTCTGTCGAAGTTAGATTTTTAAGGAGAAGATCTTTGAACAAGAAATACCATATTTGTAGCCACCAGTAATAGTAACCGCTTATAAAATTTCATGACTCGTGATTTGTCAAACATCAATTGATTCATTATTGAAATAGAAGATTGATTTCTTTTTTGCTAGATAACTTTTATTAAAACTTTCTTAAAACAAGATAGTCGTTTGCTGTTGACAATTAGAGAATTATGATTTTATTAGAAATGTGAATTTGTAAAGATACATTCATCAACCATAACTGATTAAAATTGAATTCTATAAACCTTCATAAAATAAAAAAAAATCTTTTTTTTGCATCTAGATGACGCTAAAATCATTGATATTAATAATAAAGCGACATATTTAAATAAAGGAATTTCTTTCCAATAATTTTTTTTTCTTTTTATATGAAGAGAATCTTAAATATATTTGCAAATGATTAATAAATGCATATAATGTGTTAAATAGCTGTTAATATCCAATAAAAATGATAAAGAAATGAGTGATTGATGATGCCTTGGTGGTTCTTCTTCTTTTCATCACTAACATTTAATATAGCAAACATATTTTTATATGTTTATTTATTTTATATCGTTCTCTAAATAACGATTAAACTCTATTAAATATTTTTTGATTGTCATGATAATATATTTCTGTTTTTTTTTTTCAGATGAATAAATTTTATTTTAGTGATGATTAATTTCAAAAATGGAACAAGAACGGTAAAATAAAAAAAAATAATTAATTCTTTTTTTTTTTGTGAAATTATTTAATTATGTTTATAAATGTTGTTTGTGTATAGTGTTTTTTCGTATTTGAATGATTCCGATCTACCTAATGGTTTGTGTTAGATTATCTGTTTGAAAATTTTAATTTTGTATTATTGGTTTCTTTTTTTTATATTCTGTAGGACTTGAACAAAAAAATGTTATTATTCAAAGAGATCGTTATGGATATGGTCTGACAGTTTCAGGTGATAATCCTGTTTTTGTATTAAGTGTACGAGAAGGTGGTGCAGCTCATCGAGCTGGAATTAATACGAATGATCAAATTATAAAGGTAAAATTATGAGAAATATTTATAACTATTATTCTTATTTTTTGAATCCATAGAAAAAAGCTTTGCTGAAGTTTCGTAATTTAATCTAACTCTATAGTTGCACATGTTGTTTTATTAAAAGAGATGATATTCATAAATCAATAATTGCCTTTGTCAGCTACATTAAATGTTTGCTTTGAATTAATTCAGAAAATAGCAACATATGTTTTGAGAAAAAAAAACATCGAGATTGACACATAAATCTCTTCAACTCTAATAGTTTTGGATGCGAAATCAGATCCAATAGCAGTATTTTATCCAGCGTCGAAAACTGCAGATTGCAGTGCACGTTGGAAGATCGCGTTGGTCCTACCGGCTTTTGTAGTAATTGTAATAGGTTCCTGTACTTCTAAAAATATGTGTTTGCCCTCTCACAGTGTTAAATCATTTCTCGTAAAGAAGAAATCTAGATAGAATACTGCTCGATTGATTGAACATTTTCACACCATGATCCAAACCGTATTCCTAGTTTAAACAAAATTTTGTTAGTCTAAGTCTGAAAGTCACTCTGAGTTCTTTTACTAGCATGTCCTACACATTTCTACGACGATTTTGACTATGATCTTCTAATAAACAAGTCATATTTTGCTGTAACTTTTAGGCTGTGAGTCAGACACAGACTCAATCAATAGAAGATTTTTAGACTTGGACTCGATCGACAAAGAATTTTCTAACTGAGTTCGGGACTGCCTCAATGGTCTCTATTGAAATATATGTATTTTGCCGATCTTCATAATTAATTTGTGTGAACACATAATGTATTTACCGAAAAATAACTTTTCTAGAGTCAGAATCGCAATTATAGTGTTAATGAATCATTTTCTTTGATTAAACAACGAATTCAACTTAAACTAAGTCTCGATCTATCTGGAGCAAGTAAAATTTCACTTGAATATTACTCTATCGATACTTGACTAATTGCAAGATAGAAATTAGGAGAGAAAAAGCGGATCTTAGATTTCTGGTTTTTTTTTTGATAGATTCTATAGTGGATTCATAGGATTTGATTTTTCCTACTTGATGAAAATGAAGAAGATAATATATTTATATGAACCGGATCGATTTTTCGATTCCTCTAGTATTCAGCGAAATGATTTTACCAATATCACATTAATGGTACATTGACTTATAATAAACTTAAGCTTAAAAATTTAGAATTCTGACAAAGTAAACAAAAGACGAAAATTTTACTAAAATAAATTTTGTTGATATGATTTTTTGAATATTCCATTATGAATTGTTGAATATCAATTGAACATTTTTCATTGAATTATTCTCCAGTGATAGTATTTCTTTTCGTAAAAATAAACAAATTAAGATCATTACGAAGAAATATGATCATCACGATTACCTTCATAAATGTTTTTTTTTTGTTTTTGCATCTATGCACGTCCTTTTTTTTTTTTATTTACTGATATCAATATCAACATGCTCGGATTTTTTGCACTAGAATTAGTATATTACTTTGAATAACAATATTCACCATTGATTAGATTAATTTTATCATAGAAACATGTCATTATTTGTTGTTCTTTTTTTTCTATCATTTAATAAGAATTATGGAGGTGATTAGCTTGAGCAAACAAGTGGTTGATTAATGACTTAAAAAAAAAACAATCAATGAATATGTTTGTATAAAATGAGTTATGTTTTGTTTTCTTACTAAATTGTTCCGGATGAATACAAGTAGAAAGTAGTGCACCTGTTTTACATAGAATAAATTGGACACATGTTATCTATCTTTCATGCATCATGTATTTTGATTGATTCATTTATCGAATAAAAGTCAAAAAGAACATATATATATATATAACTAAAAATATAATCCATTTCTTTCGATAATAGAATAATAGTTAAATAACAAAAGAACATTATTTTGTTGTCTCATTTTAATATTGAAATCATGATGCATCAATTTCATTAACAAAAAAAATATATGTTTAATTTTATAAATGAGTGTAAAATGAATTGTTTTTTTTTTTTTTGTATTCGATAAAAGATTAAATATATTAGATCGACACAAAAGAATTCTTCTAACCTTTTTTTCAAATTTCTTTCAGGTCAATGGCACGCGTGTAACGCATTGTACACATATTGACGTAGTCAATCTTATCAAATGTAAGTTTGTTTCTATTTATTCATAAATAAGAAAAAAAAGAGCGGATGTGAAAATCGGTTGTTTTTTTCTCTCTCAGAACTTGAAGTTTCTTGTATATTAATGTTTAAATAAACAACATATACGCTTGATCAGTCAGTGGTCAATCAATCTTTGTCTTGAATGATTTTTCAATGTGTTGATAACATCGTATTATATATATTGCCAGATGGATTATTTATTTTTCTCTTTGACCTTGATTAATCAGATGTTATTGACATGATCTAAAAGGTTTCTATGCTAATTAAATAATTATTTTATCTTTCATTAAGATAATTTTTCATCGATCAAATAAGGACATACTTATTATTTTTCTTTAACTAAACTTATATATATTTGTTAAGACCGTTCGAAAAAAAAAACAAGAAATTATATATAACAAGTTTTTTCAAATGTTTATATTTTCTGTCTTAATTGAGAAAAAATACTCAAATCAATTTTTTTTTCTCCGCACATATACATATGTATACGCATAAATCAATCCGAGAAATTCTTTTACTGTGTTTATATATATATATATATATATCAAATGGGAGAGGAGAGCCTTGGTGGCATGTTTCTTTCTCGTTTGGCATCGTCATTATAGATAATTTCTTTTGTTAGACATACGAGCCATATGCTCCGGCGATGTTTTTGTATATTGAAGATTAATAATTTATCATCCTGAAGTTAACATACGGGAAGATTGTGCCGAAAAGAAAAAGCTACCTTCAAGCAGAATGATGCCATAATACTGAACATCATTTCAACGTTCTATTCGGTATATCACGAAGCAATTGATTGAAGAAAAAATATTCAATCATTTGTTTCAAAGCGTTTTAGATTTTTTGAGATAAAAAATAAAGTAAAATGTCCACTTCGATATCGGTATGTATACCAGCTGGTAAATTAGGTACAGTTCGTGTTGATCGAACAGTCGATGCCTATTCAACTTCAATAATAAATAATGAAAATATATCCTATGCAAAATCATGTATTCCAAAATTAAAATTAAAAAGTCAATTAACAGCAACAGCAACACCATTGATTATTATATATCCTGAAGAAGAATGTAGTTATATTCCAATAATAAAATCAAATAATCAGAATGATTCTAATGATGACGATATATCCGATATAGCTGTTATTTATTCACTTGTTCGACGTTCATCAATTCGTCGAACATCATCACCAAGATTATCTGTTTTACCATTATCAGCAAATTTTAATATTTCTCACCCATATATAGCTAAAACTTATACATTAGAACCGCCATTAACTCCTATCGTATCTCATGTATCAAAAAAAGCACAAATAAAAACATTATCATCAAAACTTTCGACTACTACTTTTCTTTCAATATCTACATCATCTTCGTCAGAAGTAAGTTCATCAACTCGTATTCAAACATCAACATCATTTTCAAGAAGTGATCGACCATTAGCACCATCAATTGCTATAAAACCTCGACCGTATTCATTTCGAAATACAGGACGTAGTGCTCTTGAACGACAAATATCAAATATAACAGAACGTGTAACACAATTACAAGAAACACTTTTTTCCCGTCGATCGAATACATCTAATCATCAACGAAATCGTTCATTATCCAATTTTAATTCAACAATAATTAGTACAAATATAAGTGAATCTAATACATCAAATATACGTTTGATTAGACCACGACCAAAATCAGAAACTTATGATGATCATCGTCGTGTTAATGCAGGTAAAAAATCTTGCATCACCATGATCATCATATTTTGAAAAAATAATCATATTCTATAAATACTTATATTAATTATATTACATGAACAGAGAGAGGCAAGATTGAATAATATTTGAAGAAACAAAAAAAAAAAAAAGATGAATAGACATATTTTTACTGTCTTAGATATATCGTGCCATTGAATATATATATTTTCTGCTTTGACTGCCATTTTGACATTCAAGACATCAATTTTTCTGTTCCGTTGTTAGCATTCTGTCTATTATCGTTAGTATATTGATGGATGTCTAGAAAAAAAAAGGATTTCTTTACATGCATTAGATATCCATCAATCTATGTCGTTTGACTAATTTTTTTCTCTAAAAAAAAAAAAAAAGACAAACTTCATGTTAAATATCAAAATTCTTTATTTAGCTGGTTCGTATGCTCAACTAACTCTTCTTGGACAACCCAAAGTAAATTTAATATCACAAACACAAAAAACAATTCCAGTTGATTATCAAAATGGTCGAGTACAATATCGAACACAAGTTTCAAATCCTGAAAGACCGCATAGTACAATTAGTTCAAATTCATTACAAACAGTATTTGATACAAAAAAAGCACGAGATAGTTATGAAAAACTTCTTAAACAATTAGAAGTATTAATTGGTTTTTAAATTTTATTTCTCAGAAAGAAAATTTCTCTGTTGCGTTTTTTTTTTTGGTTTTAAAGATTTCAAACAAAGAACTTGATCGTCAACGATTAAAAGGTCTTAGTCATAATCCAGGAAGAATTTCACAACTTGAAAATCAAATAAAACAATATGAACAACAATTAAACAAATTTAAACCTTATTTAGATTCTATTGATGTAAGAAAAATTCTTTTCTTTTAGACATAGAATATCTATATCTTATTTAGATATTTACCGATCCATCATCAAATATATATGATGATCATGTTATTAGTCGACCAAATACATTCATTGAATCGTCTGCAAATCGACTAAGTACAGTAAGTAAAGAAAACAAAAACTAAGAATGACAAACCAAAAGATAAATAAAATTAAAAATTTATCTCCAAAAGTCATTTCTCTCCTTATCCCCACATATATTTCTCTAGCAATCTCATGGCAATAGTGGTCACAAGAAACAAAATTCATTACCTGAATCAACAGTATTACAAGTTATGACAGGAACTTCGCCTTCAACTTCTGTCAGTTCGCCATTACAGCACATTAAACGTAAATTTCACAGTGGAAAAAGCGAGACATACGATCTTGTCAAGGTAAAAGGATCAATAATTTGATCATACACAGAAACCTTAGTACACTAATCATTCTTGTTTATAAATAGAAATGCACAGATTTTGTTCTTGCATAGTTCTATTGTACAATTGCTTTTTTTTAATGATTCACACACACGTACATTCTACTTCGGCTGCTAATAAATGTTTTTAGTTATCATTTTTATCCTTTGAAATTTATTAATGTATGTTGTTTTTTTTTTTATTTAGAATTGGGATTTATCGAATACTATTCCAACAGATGAAACATTTAAACTTCGTGTATGTATTCATGAACGACTCAAAAAGAATGATATAAGTCCGATGCTTTAGAAATAATAGGTTCATCATCGTGAATACCTTCAATATTTTTCTACTCGACTAAACTAAATGAGTATAAATTTAAAAATATGAAATAAAAATGAAATGATAAACTGCAAGTTGAGACAAAATATAAATTGTTTGTCAATAAAACTTCTCGAAAAATGCGGACGGTTCAATAATGATATTCATTTACTTTAAAGCGATAGTCTAGATTCAATCATTCTATGATATACATAACAAAATTTCGAAAAATCTCTAGCTAAAGTATACATTTAAGTTTGTATAAAAATATTAGAAAGATGAGTATACTCAAAATTCTTCAATAATTGAATTAAAATTTTTATGAGTTCAAGATCCTTTCATTAATTGCTATTCAAATGTATATGTTTTTTGATTGAAAAAAATTGCACTCGACTATTCAGCGATGCTAGTGAGTCAAAGCGTTTTCTTTTGTTATTGTCACAAGAAGTCTCGACATTCATATGAGTTAGATTAGTCTTATTAAGATCTATGTATGAAAGAAATACTTTGCCAGAAGCAAGCTTTTACTAAAGAGATTGCCTCATCAAGATTTGGAATGGTACAGATATTGACAGGAAGGAAAAAAAAACATAATTGATGGATGATGAAAAGATAAATATAACTAGATCTGATAATCGACTCATATTTGTCCTTATAGAAATCAATTAAAGCTAGATATCCAAAAATAGGAATAGGACAATTCTAAGTTTCGGTTGGATTCTTAGCTAAATTGATGTAATTTAGATCAGAATATAGATATGTAAAGCAAGAAAAGTGAATTAACGATGAAACTACTCTAACTAATATCCACCGTTTGAAATGATATGCGGCTTACAAAGAGATCTTGAAAAGACTAAAAACTTCATTCTAATGAACTTCAGGAGTTGAGTTATGGCTATTTTAGTGAATTTTGCGACGCATTTTTTAGGTTTTTACTGGAAAATTAAACGACTTGATTTTGATCTCAAAATTTACTCATAAATAGATCTGATGACCTTTAGAATATCCTGAAAAGTTCAAGTTAAAAATTTGTACTTTTGTCGAGATATTGAGTTTTCCAAAAGTAACCTTTTGCCATAAATATATCACAAAAATCAAATTTACTTGAAAATTCAATATTTTGATACATAAAACATTCTTTTCGGCTACAACTTTCAGGATATTCTGAGAATCATGAGATATAATAATGTGCTTAATGTCAGGTCAAAACTTCGATATTTGTTTTTCTAGTAAATACTTAAAAAGATTGATCGGAAATTCACCAAAATAATCATAACTCGGCTCTAAAAGTCTATGGAGATGAACCTTTTTCAGGCTTTTTTTAGTCTAAAATAAGATTTACGAATGAAGTAAAAATAACTCATAACTGAATATCTGGATTTATATAGATAAGAATAACTGTCTCTCGCTATAATGCAAGATCACAAGTATTTTATTATGTTTAGACAAGCAAATGATTCAGGTTGGACCTTCTATAAGATTTCTCTTTCCTATTTACTAATAATTAATAAATTTTCCTCGAAAACTCAGACAATCTGAAGGATTTGTGAAGATTATCAGAATTAAAAGATATCAAATTTCATCCGATTGAGGTGTCATTAATTTTCAATCTCGTAAATAATTATATAGTGAAGCAAGAATTTTCGATTATGTCTGAGATATAATTTCTTGAAGGGATCTATTATGATCAAGAGGTCTTCTATTTAAAATGTACGAGTTGAAACAAAAATCTAGGATGGTTGAAAAAAGTTTAACAACAACCTATCTTGAATTTTTTTTTTCTGTAACTTTAAGCATCTAGTTCAGATGCAAATATGGATTTTAATAAACAATAGAGTTTTCTTTCATATACATTCTATATCAAGACTTCTAAAAAACTGGACACTTTAATTTTCAGTTCCTAAAAAGTTATTTTTTTAACAATGCCATTTTAAAGAGCTCAAAATTCTGAATAGAATGAGGGGTCGTTGCCCGCGTTTTCTAAAATCTGTCCTACGCATATTGAAATTATCATAAAAACCGTTATAAAACAGTTTTTAGTCTGTTTTTTTTTTTATTAATTTCGGTTATGTGATGCTTTTAACTTCCTAAGGGAAAGTTATAGAAAATGGGACGAGCCCCCATGTTGTTCAGACATTTGTACTCTTTGAAATGACATTGTTAAGAAAAGTATCACATTCAATTTTTTTAGAAATCTTGGTCAAAGAAAACTTCATTGGCTATTAAAATCTCTATCTGGCTTTGAGCTAATTCCTTAACATGAGAGGAAAAAAATCAAAAATACTTTGTTGGTCAATTTTTTTCCATCATCTTACATAGTTTAAGTGTTCACTGATGGAATTTTACGAAAAAAAGATTTTCTTTCTCGATTCATTTTAAATTTTGAAAAAAGTCTAAACTTAGTTCATTTTTGTTCATCAGTTTTTATTTCGTATAATCTAGAAGATTCTCTAAGTAAATTCTTAAAAATGATTACAACGTTGCAAGATCATTTGTTAGTAATTCTTCGTTTCGTTTAGGATTCATATGAAATTGATGATGATAATTCTTATACACTAACATCAAATGTTCAATCAATATCATCATTTGATGATATTCAACAATCAATAAATACATCGAATTGGATACCATTAACTCTTTTTCTCAATTTTCTACTTAATGATACAAACAGTGATCCAAGTCATTTAGTAATTTTATTTCTTTATTTTCTTTAACGTGATTATAATTTTAGTAATTTCATTTAGTTATTTTATATACTTGCTGAAGATCTGCGTACAAAAAAATCTGATAATCGTAATGAATTTATGCGATGGATATTTGAAATTCATTCAACATTCACAATGAATGCTTGTGTATGTTATTCATTGAAAATTTTAAATGAATTTTTGCATTGGTGTCTTGCTCTTGTTTTTTATAGCCTTTATATATTGGCCTTCCTCAATCTCAAACAGATGCTATTAATCGATGGTTAGATATTCCTCAACAAGAAACAACTGAAGATATAAAAAATATTTTTAATGATGCAAAAGATTATGCAAAATCAATAATAACCGATCGACAACTAGTAGACTATAATCATAAACGAAATGTTACTATAACTAATGATTTAAATTTAAAACAAACTCATTTTATAGAAGACACTTTACGATCAACATTTGAATATCATTATAAATCATCATATATTGATGATTGGAACAGTATTAAAAATGCTCGAAGTCTTGCATTAATATGTGCATTAGCAACATATTTAAAACGTTGTGATATTAAAAAATGTGGAAACATTCCATTAGAAAAAATTCCAAAATTTCTCGATAAAGAACAAAAACGTTTATTAGCAAAATTGCAAAGAACAACACCTATGAAAAAAGTATAAATTATTATTGATATTTAGATATGAACAAAAAAGAACAAAACAAGAAACTTTTATTTTTAGATTAAAGATCATCAATTAAATGAACATCAATTTTTAAATGAAACATTATGTCAAGTTTGTTTTAAACCATTATGGGGAATAAATTATCAAGGATACTTATGTGGATGTAGGAATTTATTTAAAAATAAAATTAAGAATTGTTTTTTGTTTTCGTTTGTTTGTTATTTTCAAATTTTAGATTGTCAACAAGCATATCATCGTGAATGTGCAGTACATTGTGAAAAATGTTCAAAAGATCGAGCAAAATTTCGAAAATTTTCAAATAATCGATATCCATCAAGTAAGTTATTCCATTTTTATCTGTGTGTGTGTGTTTTTTTTTGTTTCCTATTACTACGAGAATTTTGTTACAGTTGCCTCATATTATTCACTATCAGGATCAGTTTCAGCTGATAATCTTATGCAACATTTATTTTTTATACCTAATTCATCAACACAATCTCGAGGTTTTGTACGACGTTCTGTTGGTGGAAGTAGTACTCTATTTCATGGAATTATGACGAATGTAAACGGTAGTTTATCAATGAATATAATTTTGTGTTTGTTGTATAGAAAAATTAATAATACACATTTAGTATCTTTCTTTCGCTTTTTGTTTCGTCTGTCTGTTCTGTGTGATTTTACCACTTCACTATATATATATATATATATTTATAATGTTGAAAACGAGTTAATGAATTATTTCTTTATATTAATTAGGTCCGCCTAGAACTACAAGTATGATTGAAGGACGAGAAGGAAGTGTTTGTAAGTTTTAATTCAATTGAAATTTACTTTCATGTATTTATGAGTCGATGTTTATAGCGAATGATATATCTGAAATGATATCCGGTGCAAATGAAGGAATTGGTAAGTTGTTTGTAAAACACAAAAAGATCATTGAATGAAATCCGAAAAGAATGAAAATTTTCAAATTGAATTAAAAATTCTGATATTCAAATCTATAACAATATCAAAAGACTTATCCTTAGATTTTATCTGTTAAAGTCAATCATTAGCAGAAAAAAAGCGCCAGACAGTTGTTAACTGCAACACTGTCAGATCTAGATTTCATGTTTATTTGTAATGTATGACGACGATCATAGAAGAATATCTGTCAGAAGGCCATAATAACAAACACAAGACATCTTTAGCAGAAAAGAAAACACTAAGAGAGTTCTAACAATCGTGCATGATTGAAGAAGGTAAAGATTATAACAAATAACATCTTTTTATCATCAAAAATTTTAAAAAATGTTATTATATCGTTTCATTTATTTATTACAAATAGCTGCTGATAGCATTTTAAACATGAATTACTTAATTTGAATAACAAAGAATACTTTTTAAACAATTTGCGAATTGTTTTTTTAATTGTTTCTCAACACAATTTTATTGCTTATTTGTTTTTTTTGTAGAACACGATCTAAAAGGATATTGAAGTATAGGAGTAGGAATCTGGATCCCTGCACATAATTCTGGATAGATATTATTCATATTCTATTATAGATCGCATATCAATAACGTCTCTTTGTAATAATTATGTTAACTCCTTTTTTGTATTGCATTGCTATAGGCGGATGATAAAGAAATGTGTTTCAAAATAGATAGAATAAAACAACCTTCTTGTGATTAGCAAGAATAGCTAGATCGTGTTTCATATTTTAATCTCACAGCACTTCCGCCAACAGCTCTTTTCAATATGAAAAAGAAAAGAATCTTTGAAAATATTCTATTCTTTATAGATCCAACAGATGGAAATTTCTCATCTGCTGAACAGAACAAAATTGCAACGTAAATCACAACAATGAAATAAATAATAAGAAGAATAATTATATTTCTTTATTTGAATAGTGTTGGTCGATGCTCGAGTGATCGTCGAGCAGCACCTGAACGACCAGCTGCACCAAAAAATCGTTCAAGCAGGTATACATATATATTTATACAATTTTTATTTTCAAAAATTCGAATCGAATTTGTTTCAGTGAAAGCGACGATAGTGATGAGGGGTATTGGATTTTGTTTAATAATTTTTCTGACCCCACCTGCTATTTTTTATGTGCATGATATATCAACTAAGAGAAAGAGAGAAAGAGAAACAGGTGAAATTGGTTATTATATAATTTACATTTTTTTTAAACCGATAAATAATTAATTTGTAATGTGTCTCAGAATTAAACCTCTAATCCCTATGTTTAATGGTCAGTTAATTTATGCTTTCTTTCGTTTTGTTTTTATTACTATTCATTAAAATAATCTGCTTTTCCTTTTAAATATTATTGATAACTTTAAAGATTTTAATTGATTTTGTTTTTCTTTCAGTAATCCACAAATGGGTGGTAATTCAATTGATGAATTACTTAGTCATCGTATTGATAGTGATACTATTAATCAGCAAGATGCAACAAATCAACAGTAAGATATTTATTTGTAATAAATCATTAATGATTGATATAGAACTGAATAACATGTTATGAAAAAAAAAATGACTTTTCCGATATATCACTTTTGTCTATGAACTAAAGAGAGAATTTCACCAAGCGATAACTTATTTTTGACACGAGTCATATCTCATTAGATAAGTTCTACTGACGAAAGAAGTCTCTCAACTGATTAATCAGCGACTATGTGCATCCGTGTACACGATTTACTGTCCGCGGATTTACTGTCCACGGATTTACTGTCCATTGATTGGAAAAATTTTATTTCAATTAACGCTATTTTTGTATGAGGATTTACTGTCCATTGATTGAAAAAATAGAATATTTCAATTAGTGTATTTTTTGGTTGAGGATTTACTGTCCATTAATTGCTTCGAAGAAGAGAAATTAATAAATGAGTAATGGTCTTG